ATCCGGTTTTTTTTTATTAAATTTGTTGTAATTAAATCGATTATTTCGACGGATTTATCGGTATCGGCGGATAATAAAATAAATTCCTCGATTTTATTTCGATGGTTCGCGATAAATTACGGCTTTCTAAACGTGCTGAAACGATTAATCAACCGGTACATTATGATAAATTATTATTATTTGGAACTGTGTGTTTAAGAATCAATTGCGAAAGTTGCATTGGCGCCGCCACTGATCCTATCGCTTTATTTTTTCTCAATACCAAAGTGTTTATTCTAATCCAAATTATAGGTTCCAGTTGAATTGTAAAATATTAACCGAAATTATACGGTTCCATTTTGCGACCGGGTCCGAGCGAGAATTCGTGCGCCATTATTGATTCCTATTGAATATAAATAAAAGATTTACGACGTGTTTGCCTATCTCTATTCGTATCGACCATTAATGTCTTCCTTCCTCGTGATTAAATACTTTTGAATAACACCAGAACGGAGTATAGGCCGGTTATTATTTTCCTTAATCCTTCGATCAAACATTGCGCAAGGAACCATACAAATTGATATAATAGAGCTCCAAAGGTCGTTGATTGAATCGTATAGAATCACTAATTTAAGTATTCAGAAGGAGACGAGAACGCCGATTATAAAGCTCTATACATTTAGTCTTCCAGAAAAGTTACAAGAATTGATAAAACCAGTGTTACCACCAATTCCCCTAGGTTTTTGACATTGACTTCGTTTCCATCCGGACAAAATAAAAATCGTAGGTGTCGTCGGTTAATTAGGAAACGAACGGCTATCGAAAACTCCTCATCTCGGGCTAATCCAAGCCAAGGCGAAGGCGCCCGTCGCCGTTGCGTAAACCATTCACGAATCTCACCGGCCACATGTCACTCCGTTCATTCATTTGGTTCGCCGTATATGGGCATTTCTTGCACAATTCCACCTAGTAGAAGCGCATGGTGTTGCTCAAGCGTGGAACTGCCGTTCATTCATGAAAACCGAACGCGAACAGAGCCGTCTTCGATTCGCGACCGGCGGAGATTTCCGCGTTTCGCGGGACTCAATCAGTCAGCGACCCGAGCGGGATTATAGTACGTCGAGTGGCGGGTTTATTGGTGTTTAGAAGGAGCATTTTTTTTTTCGTTGGGTAATAAATCGGTTTATTAACGAGCGATTAAATTTGAGGAGCCTGCATGCGAGCGACGGTCCTGTAAATTTTGCGTTTAATTTATGCGCTTAGGTAAGCATTAATTTTTGATTCTGTTTACATCACCTCGCAATTTAAATTTAATTACCGGCCTTTTAACGCTTTTACTTCTTCCAAATCGGGCCTGTGTGTGGAAAATGTCCGTTCTGCGAGTTCTGCGACAAAATCTCTCGCAGTTTAATCGAGAAATAAGCATTCGAAATGCATTTGATGAGCGTAATTCGAGCAATTTAAGAAAACGCAGCATTAAACTGATTAAACACAGTTTAGTGTTTTTATAGCTCAACTTAAGGAGAGTTGGTAACAATGGGGTCAGGGATAATTGGATGTGCAAACAACACGGCATAAAAAATAAGTTTAATGCCCAACAAAGAGAAAATTTTATATAGCGCTGATCTCATTTTCGAATCTTCAATTCGCGCAAATCAAATCAACCGTATATAATCTTCCAAGTGTATAAGTGGCTGAGTGATTGTATAAAACAATATTATTATTTTAACGTATGCCGAAGGAATAGATATCAATTTATAAGAGAACTCGAGTTCGAAATCTCTTCGTGTTTTAATGAACGCGTCGATTAGCATACAAACAGGCGGCCATGATAAAAAAACCGCTCGACAAGTTCAAATCGCGCTATATCTCAATAACAAATTGTCGGCGAACAAAATGAATAATAAATAAGAACGGTTCCGAGGCGGCGTTGTCGATCACGACGCGCGTCCATTGGCCGGACTCGAACAATACCGTTTGCAATAACAACAACTACGTTGGCGTTGGCCAAACCTCTTTTCCCTATTTGAGAACTTCGAGTTTTTTTTTGTCTTTCCATTCGATCGCAGTTGTTAGGATAAACCGTATAAGGTCGTCTGCGATAGATTGGCAACGCATAGACAAATACCAAGATAGATGGGCAACTCTACAGTAAAAAAATATACTCATGTTCTGATATTTCTGAATCTCTATCCTCAGAGTCATCTGTTGTAGTTGCACATCATTTAAAAATTAAGAAAATAAATAGCAATCTATCAATTGTTAATAATAGTTTCAATAGATGGCGGTACCGATCAATTATGTATGTTCTGTGAATTACCAACTCAAATTTTTACCAAATATCTGTTCGTATGTGTATCAGTGTAACCAATTTTACTCATAGGGTGCTCGATAAGCACCAAAATAACAAACTTGCATACAAGTGGCGCCATCTATTATGATTGCACATTACTAAAATATGCGATAGCATTTTCCTATGAAAGATCCCTATTAAAGTAGGAATAAAAGTATTCTATATTTTAAGAAGATCCCACACCCCACGGTTTGTAGAATAATACGGTTACCTCACTTTGCAGGCAAAAGAGGGAAGAATACGTCCCTCTACCCACAGAACATACATAAACAAGAAGGGACAACGCCGTGAGAAACTCGTAGACGTTGTAGAGCGCACCCTTCAGTCGTTAAAAAGTACTAAAGTAATGAATGTTGCATAGTAAAAAGGGGATTGTGTAGTACTGGTTTTCTATTCGACCTTTTGCTTATGACTGATTAATTTACATTATTCAATTTTTGTAGAACTTGTACAATTTTCTATATTAATATAATTATACAAAATGCTAAATGCATAGAATTTCATATATTTAAATTGATATAGATGGTATACATTGTACAAGTTCTACAAAAATTGAATAATATAAATAGCAATTAATTCTCACAAAATAATTGAAGACAAAAACGTTTCATTTAATAAAAAAATGTATTAAAAAAACTTACAAAATTGGTGAAATCATAGGGAACTAATTAAACGTTAATAATTTATATAAAAAGTTAAATACATACTTTAAAATCAAAATAATTCTTCACAATTTTAAATGTACCTAAACCTATATAATTCGATTTCTAACAGATGAACTTTGTACAAAATAATGTGACACTTTCACTGTAACGACTATTTTACAAAACACAATAATAGTTTACCAACCTCTTGCTGTGAAATCCAGGCATTTTATAAGTGGCTTCAATTCAATAGAAATCTCCATCTTCTGCAATAAACAAAAAGCAGTTAATATCTTTCAATAAAAATAGTATTTGAGTTTAAATTACCTATTAACATTCAGTGTATTTACATGCTAAACAAGTCTTGACACAGCATTCTTCTCAAATCTTCCGCTGATTGAAAATTCCTTTTTAAAAAATGGCGGTCCCAAACACTGTAAGTTTCGTAGCGCAGAGAAGTACACGAGCTGAATAATCTGTTGAAATGATTCACGGCATGTTGCGCGGGTTGGTTGCGCTGTTTCTCGAGTGAACGATCGTCGCGCCATCTCTTGTCGTTAAAAATAACTAAATTGAACGTCGAAAATTTCTCATAAGGCTGTCCTGGGCCTCTACCAGGCTTATGAGAAATTTTCGACGTTCAATTTAGTTTTACTCGATGCGTGTAGTTGGCGCGGCGATCGGTTTTTTGAGAAACAGCGCAAGCAACCCACGCAACATGCCGTAGATCATTATTAACGATTTTTGAACATGTGCAGTTCGAAGAGTTTTGAAATTTTGAAATACAACCGAATAAATATTTCTTCCAACTATTGTTAGTTATCGATTATACAAAGTGCTTTGGTATTTGCTGTGAGTTTTATAAATGAATAATTTGTGTATTGTCAACGTGATTCTACCATTCTATTGCTACGAGACTTAGATATTGTTGCAGCGTCGATCGCCATTTTTCCAAAGCAGATTTCCAATCATCGGAAGGTCTGAAATCAGACAAGATTGCTGTGTCATGCTTTCTTTTCAAGGTAAATATAATTAACATTCGTACATAATTTAAACCCAAATATCATTTTTATCATATTAACTGCTTATTTTTTTCTTACAGAAAATGGAGATAGTTCTATTCGGTTTGGCGAGCTACCGACCACCGATATAAAATGATTGGATTTCTCAGAGAAAGGTTTGTGAATTATTTATTGTATTGTTAATAGGCCAAAGTACTTTAAAGTCTAAATTATTATTCATAATATGTAGGTTTACATTTAAAATTATGGTGAACTATTTTAATATTGTACTATTTAAGTGTATTATATTTATGTTTATAAATGTAGGTATTAAATTATATTGAATTAGTTAATATCTAATTTTAAATCCGCAAATTTGTATGTTTTTAAATATATATTTTTAAAATGAAACGTTTTTGTCGTTAATTTATTTGTGAAAGTAATTATTTTCGATATTATCCAATTTCTTGTAAAACTTGTACAATTTTTTATACTATGTCTCTATATTTAATAATTACATAAAATTCTTATACATTTTATATAATTATTATTATAAATTATAATAGTATAATAAATTGTACAAGTTTTACAAGAAATTGGATAATACGAACAAGAAAAAGAATAAAGTTGAGTAGAAAACCAGTATTACACGACTGCGTTTATACTATCCCCTTTTTACTATGCAACAACCATTACTAGTTACAGTTTCCATTACCGTTTAGTACCACTCAGTGCTCTCAGGATGCGCTCTACAACGTCTACGAAATTCTCACGGCGATGTCCCTTCTTGTTTATGTATGTTCTGTGCCCTCTACAAATCGTGTATCTAGCTAACACGAAACATCAAAATCCTTGACTTGACAGTTTTGACAATTGACAGTATTTTGTAAGAATAAAAAAAATAAAAAAGAAGAATTTATAAGGTTATGAGTATCATCCATGTTTCAAACGTGTGTTATTATTTTTAACAAACCACTATTTATTGCTATAATTTCTCATTTGGCGTATGATTAAGGCAACAACATGGCATCAAGCGAACGTAAGTAACAATAATTTCCACTGAATCTTGTCGGTAAGCAATTATCTTTCAGGAAATAAAAATCGTTTACCCAAGGAAGAAGTGAAGCGGATTTTGCAACAACGAAAGAAAGAATCCAAAAGACTCCAAAAGGAAAAAAGAGCCCGTCTGATAGTGAAAAACCTGCCCTTCAAAGTGACGCATGACAAGTTGAAGGAGCACTTCGAGCAATATGGGGTCGTGAAATCCGTGGAATTATTAAAGAAAAACGATGGTAAACTCAAAGGTTGCGGTTTCGTGCAGTTCGAACTCGTCCAGAAAGCTGCGAAAGCCAAACACCATACGGACGGTAAAGAATTTATGGGTAGGGCTCTATCCGTGGACTTTGCCAAATCGAAGAAGAAATACGAAGAAATCTGCAAAGCCAAAGTAAAGGAAGAGAAGACCGATGAAAACGTGGAGATAAAAGAAGAATGCGATGTTTCTGTTAAAGACGAACCAATCACTGATTCAACTAACGAAGATCAACCAGACGAGGAAGATTCTAAATCAGATAATGAATTAGAGGATGAATCGAACGATGAAGATGCTTCTGATGTTGAAATGGATGAAAATATTAAAGAAGAACACAAGCCACGTATGGTTTCGAACGATGTCACCGAAGGCAAAACTATTTTCATAAAAAACGTACCGTTCGATGCCACTAACGACGATTTGAAAAAATGCATGTGGCAATTCGGTAGAGTTTATTACGCGCTGATTTGCAAGGACAAATTAACGGAGCACCCGAAAGGGACAGCCTTCGTTAAATTCATTGTAAGTAATTCAATCGCACGTTATCTTGTTTAGTTTCTTATATATTTTTATTAGAATAAAGAAGACGCCGAAAGCGCCCTCAACGCCGGCACAGAACTAAAACTACTCGGAAATATACTAGACTGTCATCCAGCGTTAGATAAAAATTCTGTTAACAAAAAAGCCAATGAGGCAAAAGACGACAAGAAACAATCAAAAGACTCCAGGAATTTATACCTAGTTAAAGAAGGAGGTAAACCAACCCATTTTAATCCATAAACCATTACTAATTGTATTAATTTCAGTTATATTGGCTGGAAATCCCGCTTCCAGAGGCGTCTCGGCGTCCGACATGGCGAAACGGCTTCAAATAGAACAATACAAGACACAAATGCTGCGCAATTTGAACATGTTCGTGTCCAAAGAGAGATTAGTAGTTCACAATATTCCCGCGAGCTGGGACGATGGGAAATTGCGGACGTTATTCCAGAAATACGCCGGCCCTCGAGCCGTGATAAGAGAAGCGAGAGTGATGAGAGACATGAAAAGCGTGGATGCCAATGGAGTGGGAACATCCAAAGAGTATGGATTTGTTACATTCGCAAAGCACGAAGATGCATTAAAAGCGCTTAGAAGTTTAAATAACAATCCGGGGATATTTTCCGAGCAAAAGCGACCGATAATCACGTTCAGTATAGAAAACAAAGCAATCGTCAAAGCTAAACAGAAGAGATTGGATAAATCCAAGCGTTCGAATCCTACGCATAAAAACTTCAAACCCGATAACGAGCCTAGCGTTAAGAATCATAAGAAAATCGAGAAATTGACGAGGAAAAGTTTGAAGCAGAAGAAGAAGAGTGAATCGATCGAACAATCGGAGGATCTTCCGAAATATTCTGGGGTAGTTACGAAACCTGGAGTCAAAGAGAAAATGAGGAGCAGGTATAAGTTAATGACGCAAGCTAAATTACACCAGGAAAATCTGAAGAAGGAGAAGCAAAAGAGGAAAAACGCTAAGAAGACGTTGAGTGAGAAACGCAAGGAATTCACCAAGCAGCCCAAGCAGAAAATCAACCGGGTCGTCGAATCGGACAATTTCTCGAAATTAGTCAGTAATTATAAGAAAAAGTTAGTTAATGTACCCGAAGGGAAAAAATCTAAATGGTATGATTAATTATTTAATAAATACAGTTATATTTAGCGACTTTTTCTTTCCAATGCACTCGATTGTAATACTCGGTTGGTTACACTAAATGTAATAAATGTAATACTCGGTTGGTTACATTAAATTTAACCAACTGGTTAAAGTATTGGAAATAATTTTTCCAGGATGGCACTTAACCAAAGGTACCTACTCGAAACTAGAGTGAAAACTTCCTTGTCGTAGACATAGTGTGTATAAAAATTGTGCAAAGTTTAATTTCAAAAAAGGCAAATTTCTTATTATTTTTTAAGTCGAACCAATTTTTTTATTTTTTCAACCGAAACATTAACAAGTTAAACTTAACAAATCGCAGCACCTTTTCCTCTATTCGGTGTTTCCCATTGCCTCCATTTTTAGTTTATTGGCTACAAAGTCAGTTGATTACAAGAAACTTCTGAAAACGGTCGTAATCATGTCCCTATTTTCACGAAACTCGGTCATTTTTCTGCGCCCACGCGAATATGCGTAGGTAAAAAATGCGATACAACATTGTCCTCCACACCCCTTACATCAGATTCTACTTCGAAAATACACTCGACTCGAAAGGGCCCATTTGCCGGAAAAGACGCCGATCGATCACGGTTAAGGAAAAATAATAAATCGCATTGTCGATGCCAAAAAAAGGAGCAGGAATTCCAGCGAAATTCGACTTATGTAAAACGCGAATTCCTGCTTGAATTCAAACACATCCTTAGGGCAATATTTTATTGTTTGAAAAATATATTACAACCTTCACTTTATAGAGTCGTTTATTACACCAATCGGTTGGTTAAATTTGACATAACCAACCGGTTAACCGTTGCAACCGACACTTCTGATTACGGGCAAAAGTTGTCTTCACAACGCAGAGTTTTCTAGAGCACCCTGTACTTGTTTTTAGGAATTTAAATTCACCAGTATGTTCGGGATAGGGTTTCGCTTCATTCCCGATAGCGGGTAAATAAAATAATCAATCAACTCGGCGTGTAAGCCGGCCCTTTCGTCGAACGACTCGGACTTAACACGTTGACCTCTAACAAATAACCGGAATAAGTCACAGCCGTTTCCAGAGGGCGCGAAATAAATTCCGGGCGTCGAGTTGACCGCCAACGTATTTATTACTCGGGACTTTGTTATTTTCAAACTGTCGTCTCGGTTGTTACGTGCGGTTATATTTTTTTCGGATTTTCCGAATTTATTGCGGTCGTTTGCCGGACTCGTCCTGTACGGTTTACTTATCGTCCCGAATCCGGGGAGAATCGGTTCCAATGCTTCATTAGTTAAGTTCACAAATTCTACATTGAGTCGATGGTTCTTTAGGAAATTACTCTATCTTGGTGCAAAGGCTGGCTCCTCAGGAAAAAATAGCTTGTTAGCACGTCCTGAAGGGGTCGAATTTGGGACACCCTGTATAAATATAACCCAAAAATATATGCACTAAATCTGGCTCTAGTAAAAAAACGAAAAAACTTGCAATCTCTTTACGAGTCTTCATACGCGGGCAATTAATTTTTTCCTAATATTTTATAATGATTTACGTTAAGCAGAATTACTGAAAATAAACGCCGAGTGCTGAATTTCTTCGGGAGTTGTATTATAAAAACGCATTAAATAAAAATTATCGCATGAATTTTCAATTTCCATAAAAATTTGCATAGCTATTTTCGAGAAAATTGTTTCAATTTACTTTTATATTCTCATGAACGGGCTTTTTGTATTCTTGATATCAAAAAAATTGCAAAAAGGAGAACTGAAATATTACGTAAATTGCTTTACGGCCGTGGAATCCTCGACGAGGAGTTTCCATAAAGTAGAAGGGAATGTAATTAGATTAAATTCTATGTGAAAATAAATTAATGAAATGTACAGAAAGCTCGATCGACGTTTAATGCGAAATACCTGCCGCTATTAAGTAGGTAATATTCAATTAATTAGTTATTTGGAAAGTAAAAGGTTCATTACTTTTTGTCAGGAAAAAAAAACCATCGGCACGAGAGAATTTCAACCCTTTACTGAAGGCTTTTCCGCTCGAGTCCCGCTCATGAATATTTAATAAATCTCCTCTAAATATTTTCTTTTAATTTTAGTTGATGAAGTTTCCACATTCCAGACATGCAACATATCCATAAAACATTAAATTTATGGCATAGAAATGTAAACACCGCGCTCACGTATGCATATAGCAAAACGTAAATATTTGCAAAGAAACTGATATAACTCTATAACTTTTCGACTAAATATACAAAAAAAACCACAGCCAAACTACCTAAAAAGACCCCGCAGGTTTGTAAACCTTTTAAATAATAAAAATGCCAAGTTTTCCGATTTAAAATCGAAGCATTTCGGATGAATAAGGATCCCAAAAAGTCGCCCCCGACTTCTTTTTCCTCTGCCATTCATTCGAACTCGGCAAAGAAAAGAACTACCGCCGCTCGAACTACACATCGATTTTAATCCCGATGAAAGGAACGAGAAAATCGGGTTAGAAATTTTCTTTTCAGCATGGTTAATCAGCAACGGCGAAACCGCCGTTTCCGTTTTGTTTATTATGACTTACAATGAAGCAAGTCGGAGTAAAAACAAACAAACTTCCAGTTTGGGTGCGAATTTTAATTGGTTATTGGAGTGGGTACTCGAACACAAATAAAATCAATTCCAGCAATCGAACGATTTCGTATGCGAAATAAGTTTGTTTCGTCAATTCGCGAGCAAAGTGGGTAGAATCTATAATGGACTATAAAATTGCTCTAATCACAGAATTCGTTAAATCGCGCGTGTTTACATTTCGAACGTTCAACGGTATCTAATAGTGGTTAATTTTCGGTTTCTATTCAATCAACCCAGCATCAGGAATACATAATGTAGTTACAGTGGCTCAAATGCGAGTGACTGTAAATGATTGAAAGCTTTTTCAGCAGGATGAAAGTGCAGTTACATTTACCATGTATATGTATAATGAATAGCACATCATAAATTTACATACAATCTCTTGCATGTATCTCTCAAACATCTTGAACCTAAAGTGAGAAAGTGTCTAGCATCAATAACAGGTTATTAAATGGCAATTTTCTTCCTAATAAACGTTTAAGAATCAAATGAAAAATTAATAGACGTTTAATGAAAATTTCCCTTCCTTTCTCGCAGAATCGCATGTGATAATAAAACTGTTCTTTTTTGCAGCAACTTAACAACCGAATCCTGGGGGCTTCTTCTGCAGGCAGCGCCTCTGGCAGGAGATGAAGAAGCTCGGATTCCCGGATTTTCGGTCAATTAGGAGAGGGTTTCCTGGCGGAATCGCCTGACCCTGCGATATATCACTCAAGGGGTTTTTATGATATTAACTCCAAAGGCACCGTCTAATACCGGAGGCTGCGACTATACCGGGATTATTAATTAAGCGCTGATTGGGGGACGAGACGATTCGAAAACGGCGTTATAGGTAAGTCGAATGTGCTTCGTTTTAAATTTATTCCCTGCTCGAGAGGCGCCTGCTTGATGTATTGCCCGCATAATTCACCGGGGCAGGTATGAGATAAAAGGAAATCGGTTCTCGGGAAAGTCGAATTTATGTAAGAAAAATTTACTTGTAATATCGAAGTGTTAACGTTTAAATTATTGGAGGTTTGTTCGCGCTTAATTTACTCGGAATATCAATGCCGATCGATTTTCCTCAAAGTTACAGTAGTTGATAAAACCTTGGTGCAATGCAGTAGAAAAAACTAACAGTTGATTTAAACTACTTTCGAGTAAGTTTAATTGAAATGAAATTTTAATTGCTAGTGGTTCTTATTGGTCTTTATTTATAACTTTGTAGATATTTCTGAAAGTTTATTCATGATTCATTGGATAGCGAAAACTTCATCTTTCATCTTTCCAATTTACTTTATTTTTCTATCTCATCTGGTTTCGGTAATATTTTGATTTATAGAATCACTTTATTTGTAAAATTGTAAACTTTTATATTATGCGGAAAACTAATTTATTATACATACATCAGTTTCTTTACACTCTCGTCTAAAACTCATAAAAAACTTTATGTACATACATTACATGCAGTAGTAAGAAGTTCCTGTAAAATCATCTTCAAAATTTAAATAAAATTCCACCTAAAAAAAGCCATAAAGAATATAGAAACTTCATCCCTTATCAAAGCACTAGCAAATTACTAGCATACCAATAACACCGAAACGTTTTCATTAAAACAATAATAGATTTTTTTACGACACGTCTATCTCCTACACGTACATAAAACAAACGATTTCTTTTCGGGGGCAAAAGTAATTTCCTCGCGACGAATCGAAAGGAACATTAATAAAATCCGCTCTGCTAATGGCGAAATAAAAGCGCTACAACAGTGATAATGTTCTTAAAGAGCCCGTCAAATCCGGACGTCGATCTCGAAAACTGGAAAACTGGAAAGTGTCTCGACATGGACGCGTCGCAATGCGGACAACACTCGATTTTCCATCTCCACTCGATACACTCGTTTTTAAATTAACCTTCGAATCGTTATTTCGAACAGATTATTTCACGTTATATATTTATCCCACTTCTGCTAAGTTATCCCATTTCTGATCCCGCGTATACGCCGTTTATCTTTGGTAAAAAACAATAAAATCACGCAGCGTAAATCCTTCGGGAACGTCTTTTTATTTCAGACGTCATCCAGTACTTAATCGCGTCGAGTTAGTAATATAAAACTAGCACTTTCCAGCGACACTCGGTAAACAAGTTATCGACGATTTATTGCAACGAACTGCACTTCTACAACGTTTCCTCCGCATTTACTCGACTGAAAAAAGGAACAGATAGCGTCTTGGGAACAATGATGAATCGGTCGAAGTGCGACGATTCTCTATATAGTGAAGGTGAGAGGTTCTTTTTTTTGGGATCTTTTTACGCTTTTTGTCATCCAATTTATCAGCGTTTCCACTTCCAGTATCTCTAATAAGTGATTAATAGCAGGAAATAATCCCCTAGGGGACTACAAA